TTCCTTCCTCCTATAAGAAACTTCTTATAACATTCTTCTCCATTCTATGTTGAAGAATAATAGGGATGAAAAATAAATTGGGATCATAGGTTTTAAAAGAACACAGGTGAGACACTAAATACATTCACCAAGCCTTATCTCTCCACAAAACAAAGACCTCTCTAGCTTTGGGCAGTGAATGGTTTGCTTTTATACCCACTGTGTTCACTTTCTATTGTTGTATAACACGCAAGGGCTTATAAGGTACACACCAGAATGTTGTCTTCCTGCCCATGTGGGTAAGAAGTCTATGCAAGGGGTGACTGGGTGCCCTGCTCATGCAGTCTCCAAGCAAAAATCAGAGTCTCAGGAAGTTCCCGTGCTCCACTGAATTTCCAAGTGTGCCTCCAAGTCCAGCAGCTACAGGCAGAATTCAATTGCTTACCATCATGGCGGAGAGGTAGTATCTTGAGGTCAGTTGCATAATTTTCTACTTGACCGCACGCAGGCTTGCTTTTTTTTTTTTTTTTTTAATTTTATTTAAAAGGAAAAAGAGAAAAACACAAAACAAAACAAAGCGGTGTAAGGGTACACATAATGCAGAACTACAAAAAAAAAAAAAAAAAAAAAAAAAAAAAAAACTAAGAAATCACCTGTTAATAGTTTACATATTATCATCTTAGAAATAGTTGCTCAAATCACAGTATCAAAGAATACAAAGTGGACATTCAAACAGTGAGACTGCAAACAGCTGTGTTCAATGATACAAAAACATTAATATAGTCAGCTATTTAACACCCCTAAACACACTTGCTGTTATATCCGTTAGAGCTCTTTTTTTCCCCTCTCTTTTTTACAACAAAATTTACACATTTTGGATTTTATTACTCCTTAGTTCTTATTAGTTTTTAGGGGGGAGAGAATAAAGTCAAATATGGCAAAACAAAGCTGTCAGTCAAAACCAAGGATAGACATAGCATATGATGTAAAACAGAGTACAAGGTTATCAACAATGGTTATCAATGATGTCTCTTGTTTCCTTAAAAAGAATTGTCTATCTCATTAGATATTATAAAGTTGAACAAAACAGTAGAGAACAAGACCAATAAAAATTAGGCATTGTAAACATTACAGGACTTTCAAAGGAGACAATAGTCAAACCAGAATGGGCATCTTAGTGAATCTTATTGCCTTCAAAGTAGTTGCCTATACCCTCAAACTTGATACTATCATACAGAATGGATTTTGCAGCATTCTTGCTGCTGAAGCCCTGGTCCCCTTTCAGCTTCTCCAGAGCCACTCGTGACTTGTTGGCCAGCACCTCCAAGTGAACCACTGCCTTCATAGCTGCAGACTTGTTAGATGCCATCTGAAGGACATCTCTATGAGTTCATGAAGGGATGCATAACTTCGAAGCGGTCATCTGATCACATCAGAGGCCAGATAAATAATCGATGAATACAAAATCAACAGAAGAATCCACTGATTAGAGAAATGGACCCCACTATATCCCCAGGTGCAGCCACTGGTGGATTTTAGAGGATGCATAGAGAGGGCCGCCATATTGCTTGCAATATGTCAATCTTATATGCACTACTACTTAGAACTTTTTGGGGTGGTTTCCCCTGTCCTTTGGCAGCAAGTGGTTCTGCATGGAAACATCTCTTTCTGACTGCTCTTTTACTGTGTCAAAACATGGGCATGTCTTCAGGTCATTCCAGTTTCTTGGAAGATGCGTTCTTTTGCTGAGATTCCCAGGAAACGATTAAGTCTTTGTTGGTGAGCTTTTAGGATGAGACTGGCCTACAGCGACACCATCTTTTTTGTTAATGTTTGTGCGTTTCTTTGTAAGTCTCCTTTAGACTTTAGAATATTTGCATGATGGAGTCATTTGGGAGATGGACCTGATGGGTACACAGGAAATGGCTTCGTTTTGTGGGTCCTTGGTAGACACACCGCAAGGGTAACTATGCTATGTGTGTAGTGCACAGGCCTGTTGACTGAGGTCACCTGCAATATCTTCCACTTGGCCACATGCAGGTCCGCTTTTTTGCTGCAAATGCTAAGGAAGTGTACTAAACCGACGACAGATCCCTTGCTAACAAGCGCAATGCCTTAATGAATCGCGTGATTGAACTGTGACTGTCATTAAGTGAAACGCTTGCTGATAAAGTATCTGTGCGGTTGCTATTGGAAATGATACCGTTTTGAATGACATCCTGCTTTGTTAATGGTGTGTGTGTGTAAACTCTTACCCATCTCTTACCTTAGAAAATGTTATGGATTAAAAACTGGTGGTCAACTTAACGCCAGCAGAATTAAATCACCATGGTGCAGAGTGTAGATGCTCCACCTGAGGAAAAGTTGCCAGCATAAATAGAGACTTGGAGAAGGAGAAGCGAGGCACTGAGGCATTGTGGGTTCTCCTACGTGTTGCTGTCTGAGCTGTTGGTTCTTCTGGAGAAGCTCTGGTCCTCACATCGAGCATTGCTTCCTGGCTCCGGAGGGGAAGACATGTGCTGCTTGGTCTCCAGGATGAACTCGTCACGCTGCTTCCTGGCACGTACCTGACTGTGCTTGTCATTGGAGGAGCTTGGGGCCTCCGTGTTGCTGAGGATGGCTGTGGTGCCTTCAGGACAGCCCTGGTCTTTGTTGTGAGTGTGACTTCTTGGCTCCAGCGTAGAACCCTCATCCCACCAGCACAGCTCCTTCATCCTGCTGGCATGGACTTTCTGGCTTCACCGCTGACCCTAGGGTCTTTCCGGCACGGATCTGTAAAAGAGACTGGTGTGAATCCTTCCTGTGGGCTCTGGACCTCCAGTTGGACTCCTGGAGGCATTGTCCTGAGCTCTGGGTTTTTATCTGGACTCATGTGGAACATTGCCGTGAGATTCAGACCCTTGGCTAACTGTTCTGTCTTTAGTGTTGTGGATAGATTTCCTGCATTTCTTTGTGTGAACTCTGGGTGGCCATTATAAAAATAATATTCTACACTCTATGTCCTGGTTCTAATTGATCTCTGCACAATCCCCGACTGCAGCAGGAAAGAAACTACTTACGAGCGCCCAGGCAGCTCCTTCCACTTTTGTGTGCCCCATCTAGCTTTTGCCCTTTGCATTAAGTGAATCATTGCAGGTCAGTGATTGTCAGCTCAGGTGGTGGTTGGTGACCTTAGCACCTTGTGTTCTTGTTGTGTAAGAGATGGACCCAGTCCTACATCATAGACCCCAGGGGGGATTGGAGACTGGGACAGCAAAGAGGAGGCTGACACGTGGACATGACTAGGTTAGTTACCAATGCACTAGCTCCCACCTGCACTGGCCTTTCATTCCTTTGACGTCCTTCCCCTTCCTGTAAATCCCCTTCTGGTTCTGTTCTTTTGCATGTGCCTTTTTATTTGTGACTAAGGTGCCATTTCCGATGCTAGAGCCTTCTTGGCACGTGTACCGCCATACCACCCTGTACGTGCCCGATCTCATCTGATCTCGGAAGCCAAGCAGGGTCCGCCTGGTTACTACTGGTATGGGAGACTTCTTGGCACCACTGGGAAAGTGGCGGCTCATTGAGAGATGGCTAACATGTTCACAGCACAGGAACTGCAGCTGTTGATTCTGGGTCATGCATGTAACAGACCCATGGAAATCTGTTTCTCCGTCAGGCTGGTTCAGGTGTGTTTACCACACTGACACAGTAATAGCTGGAATTGTCTGCCTTACAACCAGGTGATTAAGCAACTCCTACCTCCAGGGAGGAGGCTGCGCACACCTGCACTGGTTTTATTAAAATGTTGTTGTTTGTGTGCATCTGGCCTCCCGTCGTGCAGGCCCAGAGCTGGGATCCGGCCAGCCTTAGGGTATCTTGCAGGAAAGTAAGTTTTATCTCACGGGCATATAAAACTCGACCGGGGCGCCAGCTCTGTGAGTCTGCATGTGTCCCCAGCACCCAGACTGCCCTGGTCAGTTCAGTAAAAGCAGAAGGAGAGACCGAAATGGGTAAAGGTAGGCAAGATAGGCAGTGTCCTGAGTTTAAGGGCTGTGAGCTTCTGCACAGTTGGACGGGAAAGAGTTTTCTTTAAGAGGAGTAAACAAGAGGAGGAAAAGTGGAGTGTGGGGGAGCAGGATGAAAGGAGACAACAGGTCAGAGCGTGTTCCCGAGGACAGCCTGTTACTGCATCTCATCACCCTAAGGATCCTCCAGGCTCAGAGTCCTGGAGGAAAGAGAGGAAGAGACACAGCCTCCGACCCTGAGGGGATCAGGGTTTCAGCAAATCACTTAGGAGACAAAGAATGAGAATGTGGACCTCGATTGTCTTGGTACTGAGTAGACAGGGGACACTGAAGGACATTTTCTTAGCTACATGACAGTTGTTTCTTGCAGTCAGCATCTTTGCAGGACACACAGGGTGAGAGATAGTAAAGGTGAACTGTCTTAGTGTCACTTGTAAAGCATCAGAAGGAAGACTGCTCAGGACCATCACCATAGGTTGGGGACCACTGTAAAGGGTTTTGGAGTGGGAGGGAGACATGGGGCTCAGTTCCAAACACGGAATGAGCAGGTAAAGACTGATAGGCAAGGAGCAGGCGGGATCCGTGGGTGGAAATTTCCTAAGGGGAAGATCAGGGGTGAGGGAGAGTCCAGCAGAACCAACCCAACAGGATTCATCCTGAAGATAACAAAACAAAGTCATCAGACATGGCCCGGAGAGGAAGTCATCAGTTATTCGGGGTGATTGGGGCCACAGTGGAGGATAAGGAATCAATAGTGGGGTGATCATGGTGGAGGGCGAGGCATGTGGCCAGGGCTGGACTGATCAGCCGTGTGGGGTGTGTGTCTGGGAAGCTGTTCTTACTAAATTCAACAAGCTCTCTAGAATGTGTTTTGCACTGGTGTGTGCAAAAGGAGAAAACCAGGAAGGTGACGTTTGGTGAAGCAAATGTTTGTCAAAGGGGTTTCTGAGTGTTCGCTGTTTTCCAAAGTCTGAGTGAAATTTAACCGCGCCTCTGTTGTGATGTCCACGGCAGGGTGTGTTTTTCTCTTGGTGTTGGTTACGGATGGGCCTTAAGAGAGAAAATGCTCAAGTGGCTCAGCTGAAGACACATGCTTAGGCTGCTGTGGTTACTGGGAAGAGACACCTCCTGGCCGTGAGATTAAGGACAGCTGTAAGGCCCACCACACATGCGTCTGCGGTCGGTCACCAATGCAGAAGGGATTCTCACCGTGGCCTGGGGATTTCCAGATGACACAGCCACCTCAGCTCACATGCAACTTTTGTAAGTCTTAAGACAAACTGCACTGTTGCCAGAATGTACTGTCTGTATGAAAGAGAAATGTGGTAACTGCTGAGGCTAAATACATGTATAGGAAGAGGAAATGAATCCTCTAGACCCCTGTGCAGCCTGGCATCTGTCCCTTAACTGCATCTGTCTCGTCCTGCTCTTAATCTGTCTTGTAAGAGCACTGACAAAATAAACATGTCTCATTCTCATCTCTCATGCAAGTTGGACCCAAAGGGAAAGATGACCCCTGAGGTTCATGTGACTGTCCAAATCTCTTGAACAAACAGCTGAGTAAAACACAGATTGTCCTCACATGATGAGCTCTAGGCAGGGTGAGGAACGTACGATGCGTCTCTTTGGGCGAGCTTGCTTCCAGTGGCAAGGCTCCTCGCAGGAATGTGTTGAGACATTCTCGCTGGTGCAGATACTATGGACAGAGGGGAAAGAAATTAGCTCTTAGTTAATATCTTCTGCAGCATTAGATCTCTTTCCCCAGCAATACTGGTGGAAGCTGAAAATGACTTAAGAAAATGTATTCTACAACCTAAACTTGTTGTTTGTATATGGATAGCTGACTGGATGGATAGATGGATGGATATATAAATAGATGAGAAACAGGGTAGAGGGATGGATAGATAGATAATTAGATGATAAATATGGATGGTTGTAGGATGGATGTAGGATGGATGGATACATAGATAGAAAAGGTATGTAAATAGAAGAGAAATAGAAGTTGGAGAGATAAAAATATGAGAAATGTGCATAGATGGATGGATGATAGATGGATGGATGATAGATGGATGTATGGATGATAGATGGATGGATGATGGATGGATGATGGATGGATGATGAATGGATGGATGATGGATGGATGATAGATGGATGGATGATGGATGGATGGATGATGGATGGATGGATGATGGATGATGGATGGATGGATGATGGATGGATGATAGATGGATAGATGGACAATAGATGGATGGATGATGGATGGCTGGATGATGGATGGCTGGATGATGGATGGATGGATGATGGATGGATGGATGATAGATAGATAGATGGACAATAGATGGATGGATGATGGATGGATGGATGGATGATGGATGGATGGATGATGGATGGATGGATGATGGATGGATGATGGATGGATGGATGATGGATGGATGGATGATGGATGGATGGATGATTGATGGATGGATGGATGATAGATGGATGGATGGATGATGGATGGATGATGGATGATGGATGGATGGATGATGGATGGATGATAGATGGATGGATGATGGATGGATGGATGATGGATGGATGGATGATGGATGGATGATAGATGGATGCATGATGGATGGATGGATGGATGATGGATGGATGATAGATGGATGGATGATGGATGGATGGATGATGGATGGATGGATGATGGATGGATGATAGATGGATGCATGATGGATGGATGGATGGATGATGGATGGATGATAGATGGATGGATGATGGATGGATGGATGATGGATGGATGGATGATGGATGGATGATAGATGGATGCATGATGGATGGATGGATGGATGATGGATGGATGATAGATGGATGGATGATGGATGGATGATAGATGGATGGATGGATGATGGATGATGATGGATGGATGGATGGGTGATGGATAGATGGACGATAGATGGATGGATGGATGATGGATGGATGATAGATGGATGCATGATGGATGGATGGATGGATGATGGATGGATGGATGATGGATGGATGGATGATGGATGGATGATGGATGGATGGATGATGGATGGATGGATGATTGATGGATGGATGGATGATAGATGGATGGATGGATGATGGATGGATGATGGATGATGGATGGATGGATGATGGATGGATGATAGATGGATGGATGATGGATGGATGATGGATGGATGGATGATGGATGGATGGATGATGGATGGATGGATGATGGATGGATGATAGATGGATGCATGATGGATGGATGGATGATGGATGGATGATAGATGGATGGATGATGGATGGATGATAGATGGATGCATGATGGATGGATGAATGATAGATGGATGATGGATGGAGGAATACATAGATAAGAAATAGAAATAGAAATAGAAATATGAGGAATGTGGATAAATGAATGGATGGATGAATGAATACATAGAAAGATAAATATGTATGTAGATGAGAAATAGAAATAGGAGAGATACAAGAATGACAAATGTGGGTGGATGGATGACGGATGGATGGATGGATTGGTAAATGAATATGTACATAGATGAGAAATAGGATAGATTGAAAGGATGGATGAATGGGTACATAAGGAAGTAGACATAGGTGATAGATGATATATAAATGGTGATATATGGTTGACAGATGGCATGATAGAAAAATAGAGGTAGTGTGGTGGGTAAATGAGAAATACATATAAAAACAGAAATAGAAATATATAGAAATGATAGTGGATGTGCTAGAAGATGGATAATAAATTAATGATAGATAAGTAGATACTAAGAAAATGAAGGCTGTAGATGGCATATTCATGACAAATGTAGAGATGTTAGATGCTGGGGAAGGGTACCAGCAGATAAATAATAATTTTAATAGCTGAATATAGATAGTAAATAACGACTGACAGATGAGAGAAATCCTGACAGCGGACACAGCTGAGAGAGATGGTATTGCTTTCTGTAGATTGAAGGCTACTGATTTATCCGTGCAGAGAAAAGACTCCATGCTATCTTAGATGTTTAATTTGGACCAGTTGAGCGCACCCCTCTGGAGGCTCAGGGTCAGCGTGGCTCGGCCCTGGTGCGGCTCCCAGGCCCGGTGACCTCTTGGTGGTTGTGTGAGAGGGCACCAGTACCCTTTAACCCTGAAGCCAGAGCTGCCGCGTGGAACCCCACAAGAAACAGAGCTGGAGAGAGCAGGAGAGGTGGCCCCTGTGGCCACGTGTTCTTGCAACGTGTGTCACCCCGCACTGCTGCCTTTAATCTGTTGCGTGGTAATTTCCATTGATTATAATGATTTTCTGCAATGCCTGGTAGGACAAGGTTTAGAAGGGTTATAAATAGGGCTCGTTAGGAAGATGCAAATGGCTTTTGTGGCTGTTTCAAAACATTTCAGGGACCCCTAATTCCATTATGTTGCCGAATCATTTGTTAATTATCATCTTCCTGTCGGGTCTGTTTCCGCTGGAGAGCTCCTACACAGCCCGATGGGTAGACCAGGAAGCCAGGAAGGGTTGCCAGAGTCTTGGCACAGAAGGACAGTTATGCATGTTGGGTTGGGGGACCGCGTGTTTTGCTGGGGTTCTTTCTTCCCAGGTACCCTGGTGGTTCCATTTGTGCTTCATGCTATCTTAGATGTTTAATTTGGATCAGTTGTGGTCAGACAGCTCTTGTGAGATCTTGGTCCCAGTTCTGGGCAGTGACTTACTCTGGCCTCTGAGGTGACTGCAGAAATCCTTTCTGTATTTTACAGATAGACATTTGATTGTATTCAAAACAAACAAACAAAACCCCTCAGGTTTAGACACCTCTCGTGATGTATTCTTCTCTGGGTAAATTGTGTCTAATTCTGGAGTAACTGTATCTGTAAAACCACCCTTGTGATATTGGGGATTGAACTCAGGGCCTTTGCATGGCATTATTATGTAGGGTTTATATCAACTATTTTTGCATGCTTTTTATTTTAAACATTATACTCACCTTTGATGTTTGTGTCTAGTGAAAGCTAATAACGAGTGTACATTATTTTCTTTTGCTAATTTGCATTTGTGAAAAATAACCCCTCATTGTCTGCTACAATTGATTAAAAACTGTTACTATAAATACATGACATATAATTTTTGTACTTCTCCAAGACTCAGTGATACTTTTTTACAATACAAAATGGGCACATTGGAATCACTGAGGTTGAACAGGAAGGAAGTGTTCAAAGGTCTGCAAAAGAAAAAGCCAAAAAAGGGAAATACGTTTGCATAGCAGAGGGGACAAGTCTACGTCATGAAATGGAAAGATAAAAAAGACCTTTCCTTGTTGTCAATTATTCATAACACAGAAACGACAGAACTTTTAAAACAGCAACGAACCTAAAAAAAAGTATAACAGTGGTCAGCGATGGTAGTAATTCTGTGGGAAGTGGTGGCAGAATCCAGAGACATCTAAGAAGCGATCCTATAATCAAAAATCAAAGAAAAGTACTATTATAAAACATGGATGCACTTTCTGAAGCAAACGCTATGTAGTGTGTTTGTTATTTATTCAAAACAAAATGGTTCCAAAAGTCATTTACAATTTAGATGAGATCTAATAGACTAAATAATTGGAAAATAAGGGTAGCCAAATACCAAGTACGATATTCATCATCAACATCTACCTACACCGTTGCGTTTAGTGGATATATAGTGTATTGAAATTATACCACCCACATAAAAAAAGGAAAAACACTCTATGATGGTATAAAGTGCGTGATTCAAAAAAGACAGTCATGCAAAAAAAAAAAAAAAAAAAATTGCAGAAACTAGATGTGACTGTCCAGATTCTAACACTGAGTTGTGTGTTGACTGTTTTAAGAAATGCATATACAGAAACTGTTAAGTAAATTTGATTTAAAAAATCGCCATTTTTATATTCCCTGATAAAACTGCATGAAAAATACAGAATCTTTGGTCACGCTCTGTTTAAGTAACTGGTCTGTAAGTGGTGACACTTTAAGACAGTTTTGCTGAGTCATCCAATGGGAGCTTGAGTTCCTCAGCCTCCTGTAGATCTGAGATTACAGGAATGCTGTGCCTCCTCTGCATGTGTGTCATATGCTTTTCTGCCTTGCTATGCCAGTGACTGTGTTTCTCTCCAATAGCAGGACCCAGAGTTTTTCCAAAACTGCTTTGATTCATCTTCCTTGTCTTTAAATGTCTCCCTCTTAATGGGTACAAAATAGCATTAAGTATAGCCTTCTAAGTCATTCCGTGTTCAACTAGCTAAACTTAGTCTGCA